CCTTATTCATGATTATAATGTTGTTAGATTAGATTTTGTAAAGTAGAGTGATACTCCATATTTACTCTGCAATATCGAATTCCACAAATTGCATCCGTATTAATTCCACAAATTGCATCCACACATTATTACTCCGTATTAATTTTGCACAATCAGATTTTTGTATCTGATCATCTATGATTACATTATGAATGTGTTATCTCCTGTTTTCAATTTTTTTGTAATTACTGAGTAAAGCATCTTTTGTACTCCGTAATAAATAAATACTTATTAGAACATTGTCATTCTTCATTACTTTTTTGAACCGGAAGTAGCTAGTTATGATTTTCAGATTTTCTTGTTTTGGTTCAGACTGCAAGACTGCAAGTATACATATTCCTATTTTCTTAGGTTGGATTGACGATGTACAAGTATTATAACCGGTGGTGTTTTTGAAGGCTATTAGTATTTTATTTAATTAGGAACAATGCTAAATTGTGTCTATGTTTGCAATTATTTCATCTCTTTTTATATTATCTTTTTTACAATAACTTATCTTTCTTATCTTTTTTTTTTCTTTTTTCTTTTTTCTTCCTTTTCTTTTTGATGGTGGTATCATGTATGATGTATCGATTCATGTTAGCCTACCCCAATATCTTTTGAGACTAAGACTTGGATGTTGTTGTTTGAATCTGAATATGTACTTTTGGGTCATTATTGTTGTCATTTCGATGTTTGTTGATTATGAACTCTATTGTAGGAAAACACTTCTTTCGGTTTGATTTCAGTATGATTGTATGAATTTGTATGAGAACTGGATTTTCTTTCATTTTTTTTCCTATTTCGAAATTTCGACTCCCAAAGAAGACAAATATTTACGGCAAAGGAAATTTTTTATTTACGAATTACGATAGAACAGAATTATTTAGGACCAAATGAGCCGTAGTTTTTTTTACAGTTAGTATGGGGCAGTTTATTTGTAGTGTGGGCTAATGAAACTTATAATCCTATTTAAGTACTCCAGTAAATAAAAACAATCCCCCCGTCACAGATTTTTTATAGAATTAAATCAATTAATAATAACCTGAAAAGTTCACTTGATTACTCAAATTTTAACGGTTCACACAACTTATTTGTGTTCGTTTTTTTGTATGAATGTATGATGGATATTCATACATATATCAACAAAGCTCCATATGTGATATATATATAAATATATAATAGCTAAATCCATATAAATCCATGAAATCAAATATGTATGAACTAAGATTAGAACAATACCTTGAGAATTCATTTGCATTAACACTTTAAGAAGACCCGGAATCCAACACGATTGATCGGCCTAACCTTCCAGTGCTATGTACCGTATGAGATGTTGATTGTCCTAGTCCTACCTATTGATGGGATATATATAGGACTAGTGGAATATTGTAACGGTTGGCCCTTAGTATTCTAATAACTCCTTTATTATTATTACAATAATGATATTATTTAGAATAATTTATTAGGCCATTTTCCGTTACAATATCTTTACTGTTATCTCTTAGTTTACACGCACCGGGGGTCATAACCGTTGTATCACTTTAGTGTAATATATTTAATTTGACCCGTCACCAAAAGAAATATATTATCCTGGTATCTACACTTTTATTATTTCATGAATAGCCACTGTATTATTTATTTGATGGTAAACACATTTTAATTAATTACATATTAGGCCCCTTTTATTGTTTTCCAACAATCTCCCACTGGGCCTTATATGTAATTCTTAACAAAATGTGTTATCTTTATGAGCTCAAAAATACCATCATATAAAATAACATCCTTAAACAATCTGGTCCATCAGTAATACTAATATAGAACCATTGCAGCATTTTGTTATGTTAAACATAACTATACCACCAATGATCACTAGTATCAATATTACATAATGACATAGATCAATCATGAAATGTGTAGCATGAAAATTACATGAAATGTGGCATGTACATGTAAATTTTCAACTGACCCTTCTTTAATAAACTTTAAAATCTTAATTGTTCAGAATACACCAAATGTCTTATTCTGATCAGAAAACAAATTCATAAAGCAACTGAACATCAAGCATAACTTATAAACTCCCACTAAACCTGAGGTTCCTTAAAATCAATGACTCCCAAGTGAGCAGTATGCTCATGAAAAACTTTTGGCGGGAGACCCTTGGTTAAAGGATCCGCTAACATGGAGTTTGTACTTATATGTTCAATAGCGACTCTTTTATTCTGAACCCTTTCTTTAATAGCTCGATATTTCACTTCAATGTGTTTTGTCTTGCTCGAGCTCTTGTTGTTGTTAGAGTAAAACACCGTAGAATTGTTGTCACAAAGTATCTTGATAGGCTTTGAAACATCATTTAATATTTTCAGCCCATCAATAAAATTGCGCATCCATATTCCATGGTTTGAAGCTTCGAAACAGGCCAACAACTCTGCCTCCATAGTTGAGGTAGCTATCATATCTTGCTTAACACTTTTCCAAGATACAGCACCACACGCTAGTAGATAAACATAGCCTGAAGTAGATCTACTACTGTCTTTGCAGCCGGCAAAATCAGAGTCAGAGTATCCAACGACCTCCAAATGATCTGATTTTCTATATGTAAGCATATAGTCTCTTGTTCTCTTTAAGTATCTCATAACTCTTTTGGCCGCCACCCAATGAGCCATTCCTGGATTACTGAGATATCTGCCTAGCATCCCAACAATGTACGCAATATCCGGACGCGTACAAACTTGGGCATACATAAGACTTCCTACAACAGATGCGTAGGGAATCTTTTTCATTTCTTGAATTTCCAGATTTGTTTTAGGACACTGATCGAGACTAAACTTGTCTCCTTTAGAGATAGGGGTATCACATGGTCTACAATCTTCCATGCCAAATCTTTTAAGGACCTTATCGACATAGTTCCTTTGTGATAACCTTAAGATTCCTTGTGATCTCTCACGAAGGATTTCAATTCCTAATACAAAGGAGGCTTCACCAAGATCTTTCATTTCAAAATGTTTTGATAGAAATCTCTTGGTTTCATGCAACATGCCTATGTCATTTAGTGGCAAGAAGAATGTCATCAACATATAAGACCAGGAAAAATATTTTACTCCCACTGAACTTATGATATACACAATCATCTACATCATTCATCTTAAAACCGAAGGATAAAATGACTTGATGAAATTTGTGATACCATTGACGAGAAGCCTGTTTTAGCCCATAGATGGATTTTGTTAATTTGCAAACCATTTGTTTTGGATCTCCAATCACAAAATTTTCTGGTTGCACCATATAAATAGTTTCATCAATGTCACCATTGAGAAACGCCGTCTTAACATCCATCTGATGAAACTCTAAATTAAAATGTGCAACTAAAGCCATAATGATTCTAAAAGAGTCCTTTGATGAAACCGGAGAAAAGGTCTCTTTATAATCAATTCCTTCTTTTTGAGTATAACCTTTAGCTACAAGACGAGCTTTATATCTCTCCACATTACCCTTTGAATCCGTTTTGGTTTTAAATATCCATTTACAACCAATGGGTTTACAACCTTCGGGTAATGGGACGAGTTCCCAAACTTTATTGTCTTGCATAGATTTATACTCCTCATTCATTGCCACAATCCACTTTTGAGAATTTGAACTTTTTATGGCTTGACGGAAGTTGATTGGATCATCTTCCATAACACCACTTTCTTCCTCATGTTCTTGAATAAACACAAGGACATCGTTCTCTGTATCCATGCTTGACGCATGTTCTTGGAGATATACAACATAATCATCCGGAATTGCGTATCTCCTCTCTCTAGTGGATCGCCGCAATGGCACGTTTTCTTGTTGCACTTGTTCCAGAGGAAGTTGAGTTTGTTCATTTTGAACAATTTGTTCAGTTTGGAAAGGAGAAGATGAAATAATGCCTTGTTGAGGTTCCTCATTAGTTTCAAAAGAAACATCCGTATGAATTGGTTCAGGTATTGAAATCAATTCTTCCTCAAAGACAACATCCCTAACTTTATTCTTCCCCCCAAACTCAACATCCTCGAAAAATATGGCAGTTCCCGTCTCAAAAATATTTTTATCCTCGGGATTATAAAATTTATATCCCCTAGATCGCTCCGAGTAACCAATAAAGTAACTACTAACTGTTTTGGGTTCCAGTTTCTTTTCATGTGGCCTATACGGCTTTGCCTCAGCTGGACAACCCCAAATATGAAAATGCTTTAAACTAGGCCTTTTACCCGTCCAAAGCTCATAAGGTGTTTTAGTAGTTGCTTTAGTTGGCACTCGATTAAGAATGTAAGCTGCGGTCTTTAATGCCTCACCCCAGAGGGATTCCGGTAAGATAGAATGAGAAATCATACTTCTTACCATTTCTTTAAGGGTTCTATTACGCCTCTCAGCTACACCATTCATGCTAGGTGAACCCGGCATGGTGTATTGAGGGACAATCCCACATTCCTCTAGAAATTTGGCAAAAGGCCCTGGACGTTGTTCACCTGAGCCGTCATACCTACCATAGTATTCACCACCACGGTCGGATTTGACTTTCTTTATGCGTTTGTTGAGTTGATTCTCAACTTCCGCTTTGTAAGATTTAAACACGTCCAAGACTTGAGATTTTTCATGTATAAGAAATAAGTATGCATATCTAGAGTAATCGTCTATGAATGACACAAAATATTGTTGACCATTCCATGAAGGAGTAGGAAATGGCCCACAAATATCCGTGTGTATTAATTCTAAGACATCCGTAGCTCTATATGCACATTTTTTCTTATTTTTGGTTTGTTTCCTTTTAATGCACTCAATACAAGTATTGAAATCAGAAAAATCAATGGAATTAAGTGTTCCGTCGGACACAAGACGTTCAACTCTATTTTTAGAGATGTGACCTAATCGTTTGTGCCATAAAAAACCAGATAGTGCATTATCAGCCTTTCGCTTAGTGCCTCGGGTGTCAACATTCAAAGCATTATTATATGAAGTTATTGTTTCAAGCATGTAAAGATTGTCATATGACATAAAAGAACCAGTCCCCACAATATTTGAATTTAAAGACAAATTAAACCGGAAGTTTCCAAAGGAACAATGATAACCTAATATGTCCAAATAAGAAACAGAAACCAAATTCCGCCTAAATGACGGAACAATAAAAGTGTCTTTTAAATCCAAATAGAAACCAGTAGATAATAACAATCTAAAATGCCCAATAGCCTCCACATGCACCGCTTTGCCATCTCCCACATAGACGCATCTTTCAGCATCATTTGGCTTGCGGTGGCTCAGACAACCCTGCATAGAAATACTGATGTTAGATGTTGAACCGGAGTCTAACCACCAAGTATTTCTAGGCACTGAAGCCAAATTGTTTTCAGTACAAACCAAGGCAAGGACCGTACCTTTCTTCACTTTCCAAGCATGATACTTGGTACAATCCTTCTTCATGTGTCCAGACTTCTTACAGAAGAAACAGGTTGTTTCACCTTCCTTATGTTTCTTCTGTAGTGGACCTTGAGCAGCTTCATTCTTAATGGGAGTTCTCTTCCTCTTTTTACCCTTATCCTTAGAGGTACTAGCCAAGTGAGCACTTTCTATCTTATTTTGTTTCATCCTCTCTTCCTCTTGCACGCAATATGAAATGAGCTCATTAAGAGACCACTTCTCTTTTTGGCAGTTATAACTGACCTTAAAAGAATCAAATGCAATAGGAAGAGAGTTCAAGACTATGTGTACGAGAACATCTTCCGATATCTCAATCTTAAGTGTCTTGAGCCTAGAAACAATATAAGACATTTCCATAATATACTCCCTTATATTTCCTTTTCCTGAATACCTTTTGGAAGTAAAGTCTTTTAATAACATGCTTATTTCCGCCTTATCGCTTTTAACAAAACGTTTCTCAATTTCAGTAAGGAAATCCTTGGCATTAGTAACCTCATCGGATACAGCACCCCTAAAAGATTCTGGAATTCCACGCTTTATGATCATGAGACTTAAGCGATTCGAGCGATCCCACTTCTCATAGTACCTTTTTTCATCTTGGGTACTAGCATCCGTAAGAGAAGCGGGTTGCTCTACCCTTAATGCTAAGTCAAGATCCATGCAGCCCAAAGTTATTAGAATATTTTCTTTCCATTCCTTAAAGTTAGTACCATTTAGGACAGGGATGGAGTTGAGATTGGCAGATATGCTCGAAAAATTAACTGTAGAAAGAACAAGGAAAATGAACATATGCTTTAGTGAAATTGTAAAATGATTTTTAACCCATCACAAGATACCAAATGCACCATTAGTATTTCATCTTTGGACAATAATACTAATTGCTAGTGGTACTCTTGTTGTAACAATAAAATATAACAATAATACATATAAAAGAAAAATCCACCTTTGGGTTGACTTTTTCTTTTAAAGTGCAACCTTATAATTGTTATATATTTATTATTACCAAAATGTATATATATAATAACTTTATAAAATATTAATCTTCCTTTGGGCCGATTAATATTTACTTGAACTATATATACCATGTTTAATATTTTATATGAGCAACTTATACAATAGGATCACTTTGGTGACATATTGTTTCTATATACCCATTTTAAATATTAAACTTCCTTTTATTTTACAATTTCATCACAACACTAAAATCTTACCCAGTACTACTTAAAGAACAGTTTACAGCAATTAAAGATTTAATTGAATCAATCATATATAACCAACGGCAATTGACTTGAAATTGAATCAATTTGATCAAAAACAACTTAATTCACAATATAACTTGATGAAAGCAAATTAAAAACAAAGATGCTCTGTTGCCACACGTTCAATGCAATATAATCATGGCATATGTTACATTTAAATTAATGGCAAAGAAAAAAAAACGGTGGCCATAATGTAGCAGTTTCCTGGCTTGAAGAGATATACTACGTATTTAATTATTCTTTAGCATCAAATTTACATATATGCTAAAATCATACTGAGTATCATTTAAGCTTTATAAATTGACGGGATTTGAACGCCATGGTTCATAATATACGTGTAAACATTTATGCTCATATAATTAAATTGCACTTGAGAATTTAAATGGCATAAACGGTTATCACATTGCTTGAAAAATTCCACTTTGTAGAAGCTTGAGAAAATGAATTCAGTAAGCCACGCCACAATATACTACTCATACACGTAACACTTGGATAGTTGACACACCACAATTATATTATTATTTTATTTTATCATTATAATGGAGATGATGTGTAATGTCGTCATTCCAAATTGATGTGTTGAGTACGAAAAATTCAGACATGAAGCACCGAATCATTTTTAACAAAATTCGGTAAAGAAAAAATATGCAGCGGAAAAAACAGATATGAATCGGCAAAATATCTCTCATCCGATCTCTACTTAATCAGCATATATGAAACGGTTCGTTTTCTTAAACGAATATATTTGAGCATAAAGAAAACCTTTCGAACATGAATTTATGATGATGTATAAAACATCATCGCACAACGTAACGGTCCATCCAAAAACAAAACACGCATGTTTCACAAATATGCAAAATAAAAGCTTCAGACATCCCAGATGAAAATGAATTCCAGTTATCATAACGAACTCATATGCAGTTCAAAAATTCCATGGATCTATAATGGTGGGCTCTGATACCAATTGATGGATATTCATACATATATCAACAAAGCTCCATATGTGATATATATAAATATATAATAGCTAAATCCATATAAATCCATGAAATCAAATATGTATGAACTAAGATTAGAACAATACCTTGAGAATTCATTTGCATTAACACTTTAAGAAGACCCGGAATCCAACACGATTGATCGGCCTAACCTTCCAGTGCTATGTACCGTATGAGATGTTGATTGTCCTAGTCCTACCTATTGATGGGATATATATAGGACTAGTGGAATATTGTAACGGTTGGCCCTTAGTATTCTAATAACTCCTTTATTATTATTACAATAATGATATTATTTAGAATAATTTATTAGGCCATTTTCCGTTACAATATCTTTACTGTTATCTCTTAGTTTACACGCACCGGGGGTCATAACCGTTGTATCACTTTAGTGTAATATATTTAATTTGACCCGTCACCAAAAGAAATATATTATCCTGGTATCTACACTTTTATTATTTCATGAATAGCCACTGTATTATTTATTTGATGGTAAACACATTTTAATTAATTACATATTAGGCCCCTTTTATTGTTTTCCAACAATGTAAAGATTTTAATAAGGCAATGTGATTTTATCTTGATCGAGTATCTTAGTGTTAAATGCCCACTCACATATGCATATTAGAAGATAGGTTAATTGGTTAATTTGATTAGGCACTTATACGTTATTCGGGCATTACGTTGACTTACCCCCACTCACTTTTTTTCAAAGATATTCATTCGACTGGTACACTTATTTAAGAACGAAAGAAGCATATAATTCATAGTACTAGGCATGTCTCGAGTGTTACACTAGTATAATTCAGAATGTTGAATTTACACCACCAAAAAAAACAACAAATTCTCTCTGTGTTATAGTACATCATAAGGCCGTGTACATCTGACGCCTCCTTGCCCCACTGTAGGTAAGAGCGTGACACTGGTGTATTGATGATGATGACATGATTTGAATATATAAAATTTGAATGATGATAGGAACAAAGAGCTTTTTTTACGCATGCAAAAAGAATTTATATATCATATCATAGATCGCATGAGATATAGTGATGTATTGGTTAGCAGCAGTGAAATATAAAAATGCTACAAAATTTGGAGTAAGGTTTGATCAATTTGGGAGCATAACTGCATAAGTAAAACCAAATAAACTCGAAAAAAGAATGGAAACCTAGCTAGCTAGTAGCTTCCTTAGATTGGATATTTTTGTTTGTGTATTTCTATAGTAAATAAAAATACGGTGGTAAGTAATGACATATTGACATATACTTCGTATCTACCTATACTAGCTTATGTTGTTTGTGGATCATATAATATTTGAGGGATCGAATCGAAATCTGCGTGACCTTCCTACTACCTACCCATTCAACCCAAATTTTATACGGGCGGCGGTTCAATTCATGGTCACTCGACAAGAAAGCTGTTGGTAAGGGATTTCGATTTTGTAGGCTAATCGGAAGACGCCACGTCAAGCAGCGGGCCCACCCAACTTTAGTTGCTTTTCCTATTTTTGGCTGGGCTGGGCTGGGCTGGGCTGCTGTGGATTTGTTGCGGGAAACAACTAAAATGGCATCCTCATCATCATTTTAACGGAAGATCGAGAATCCAACGGTCCACTAGAGAGAGAGAAAGATGGGGGCCACATACGGAGTAGCAAATTTGGTGGGCCCCACCCAGCCTCCCACTTTGGAAACCGGCTGGGCAGAACTGAAGCGCGCAACGTGGCCCGGTCGAATCAAATTCGGTTGGTTAGTTCTGGTGGATTCGCCGCATCAGATTTTAGTTCAGCTGCGTTGTGGAGGATATCATCTCCTCATGTTTGATTCAGGTACGAACATTATATTAGGCGGCTGTGGAATAGCGACGCCGATTAAAACCACTAAAACCTAACAAGGTCGTTTTTACTCTGCGGGTAAATATATGAAAAGCTGATTATGAGTACAATTTTGTAGTGATTTTGACATAAAGTTTGAACATTATTACACTACAGCTGCTAAAAATATTTAAATCATTTTATTAAGCATTTTTCTTAAGATGTTTTTACTCCAACTTGTTTTAGTCCCAAATTAGACATAATAAATCACATTAAACCAAACATAAACAAACACGGAGTACATTATATCTGCAACAATTATAAATCACACAGAAACCAATTATATACTAGATCGAACCTGAACAGATCAAACACATAAAATTTCTTTTTATGTGTCCTACTTTGATTTGACACAATTACTAATAAAGTGGTTCAAAAATTAAAAGTAATGGATGAATGAGATTTGAATATGATAAAGTGACTTATTGTAATGACCACATATTTCTTTCAGAAAATGAAATATGACATTTATTTTGGAACAATCTAAAAAAAGTAAAATAAGTCAAATGAGACGGAAGTAATAATATTTGATAAGAGTGATACCATAGCCGAGCCAAACTTTGTTAGTATGTTACCATGTTTAATTTTTCATGTCGATTCATGTTAGCCGACCTCAAAATCTTTTTGGGATTAAGACTTGAATGTTGTTGTTGTTGTTTTCATCCTAAAATGAAATGAAGTCTTTTTTGTCAACAAGTTTGATCATATTTACTCACTTTAAATATCAATTTTTATTATTTTTAATTTTGGATTTTACGACTTAAAATTTTAGTTGTTAAAATTGATTTATTTATGTACTGGGGAGATCTGACTTTATTATAAATTTCAATTTATTAAATTGGTTTTAGTTATTAAAATTTTACTCACTTTAGGGATGTTTTCTTTTGGACTGAAATTTGCTGGTCTGATCTGGTCTGGTCTGGTCTGGTAAACATCTGGTCTCTGTGTATTTTATAACTACGGAAGTCAAGTCTGGTCTAGTCTGGTGTGGTGTGGTCTGGTCTGATCTGGTCTGGGACTGGAAACAGTCCAGAAGAAAACATCCTAAATATCAATTTTTATTATTCCAAAAATTAAAAATCTTGAATTTCAAATCAATTTGGCCGGGGAGGAGAAATTTAGTAAAAGCTAATTCCTTTTAGTCCAAATCTAAACAAAATTAATAAGTCTTACATCACATAACAGTTAACAGTATGCTTTTGAATAATCGAGTGTCATATAATCAATTCTATTATTCAGACTAACGAATCTGTTTCACAATTGGGACACTCAAAGTGTATAAATGAATAGGCAATACCTTATATAGTTATATGCTTTTGTGCGTATATACGGATCAGGGAGTGTTGTTTTTAGACAAACACGATGGATATCTCAGAATGAGGAAATCGGCCTTTAGATGGAATTATCAATGGAATTTGAGCAAACAGAAATGATACTCATGTGCCTTTTTCATTATCTCCAGCCTTCACTTGCGCAGATCCGAAGTACATTATTACACTACATTTGTACGCACAAAAGGCTACAGACAGTTTAGATGAATTTTCATCAAAACTCAAAATATTCATTTTTTTTTGGAAATGTGCAACTTTAATGTGCAAAAAAGTAAAAAACAAAACAAGAGCTGTGATTTGGTGTGAGAAACCTAGCTATCGGTAGATGAGCCAACTTGACTATTCTTTTATTGTTGTGTTTATTCTCTTATATGACAACTCTTTTCCAATAGTGACGCTCCATGTGGAGAGTTACTTTGGTGTCAGTGTGTCACAGTCAGTTTCGTTTGGTCAGTGATTTCTGTCCGTCTTGTTTTGGATCGCGTACACAATAAAAGAGACATGCTGGAACAACGAAGCATGTTTAAAGAATAATTGGGATTAAAAGCTTGTGTATTAACAATTAATCAATGGGTATTTATACAAGGTACTCCCTCCGTCCCAATTTGATGATCCCGTATTTCCTTTCTGGGCCGTCCCAAATTGATAGTCTCATTTCCCTTTTTGGAATGAAATATGTGGCCCACATCATTTCACCTTTTTCTATTCTAATCTCAACCACAACTTTTACCTTTTCAACCACTTCCTTAATCTTTGAGCCCAAAAGAAATGTGATCATCAAATTGGGACAGAGGGAGTATTGTTTAAAAGAAAGCCCTTGGCCCATCTCCTATGAAACTAGGGGTGAGTTCGGTTCTTTCGGTTCGGTTTTGAACTAAAACCAAATACGGAACCAAAGTAAAAGTTCGGTTCGATTTCGGTTCGGTTTTACACTCCAAAACTTGGAACCACGGTTTGATTGGTTCGGTTTGTTTCGGTTCGGTTTCGGTTTTTTCGGTTTTTACTAAAAAAAATGTCATTTGATTTAAAATTGATTTATAAGTTGGAGGGATCAAACATATTACATAAAAATGCAAACATACTTGAACAAATAAAGAAAATAATAATAAACAAATATCTCTTGAATTATATGAGTATGCGGGAGGGATAAAAGTTTGTATACATATATCTCTTAATTTACTTTATTTGTGACTAGTTTGAAAAAAAGTTTATGAATACATACGTCCTGTGTGATACAGCTGAGATAGGTTACAAAAAATTTATTTGTTTTATCAATATAAAAAAATTAAGTTACAAAAAAATTAGGTTACATAAAAATAAAAGTTAATTACTACTAATAGCCAGTAAAAACATATAATCATGCAATAAATTGCAACATACATACATAGAAGACATAATCGATCAATATAGCTACATTATTATGGGCAATGGATGTGTAAATGCATTTATAAACAAAACTAAACTAAACATAGCGCAAACATTATTTCTCTAGCACAAGAAATTCAAAGATTATTGATAATATGAAGATTAATTAATGCTTACATTTAACAAATAAAATTTCATATTTTATTTTAGTTCGGTTTTTTCGGTTCGGTTCGGTTTTAAAGGGTAAAAACCAAAACCGAACCAAACTACTACGGTTCGGTTCGGGTTTTTACATTCGGTTTCGGTTTTTTAGCGGTTCGGTTTTATTTGGTCGCGATTCGGTTTAATTTGATTCATCTATCTAGATGAATGGAAAACTATCTTTATCTTACTCCGTATATAATTTGACTTTGAAAGTCGCCTTAGGCATAATTCAATCGTTTAGCTTTCTTTTTCCGTCTGTCTTTTTCTTCTTCGTACTGTCTGAACGGAGAAGAGGAAGAAGTCCTCACAAGGTATCCATACGTATGAGTTTTGTAGGAGTGCAAGCATTCGACTTCAGTTTCCAATATAAATCCGTAGGGTACTCACTTTATTATAAATTTCAATTTATTAAATTGATTTTAGTTATTAAAATTTTACTCACTTTAAATATCAATTTTTATTATTCCTAAAATTAAAAATCTTGAATTTCAAATCAATTTGGCCGGGGAGGAGAAATTTAGTAAAAGCTAATTCCTTTTAGTCCAAATCTAAACAAAATTAATAAGTCTTACATCACATAACAGTTAACAGTATGCTTTGAATAATCGACTGTCATATAATCAATTCTATTATTCAGACTAACAAATCTTTTTAACAATTGCAAGGACACTCAAAGTGTATGAATGAATACGCAGTACCTTATATGCTTTTGGGCGTATATACGGATCAGGGAGTGTTGTTTTTAGACAAACACGATGAATATCTCAGAATGAGGAAATCGGCCTTTAGATGGAATTATCATTGGGATTTGAGCAAACAGAAATGATACTCATGTGCCTTTTTCGATCATTATCTCCAGCCTTCACTTGCGCAGATCCGACGTACATTATTACACTACATTTGTACGCACAAAAGGCAACAGACAGTTTAGAACTTTAGATGGATTTTCATCAAAACTCAAAATTTTCATTTTTTTTGGAAATGTGCAACTTTAATGTGCAAAAAAGTAAAAAAAAAAAAAAAAAAAAACAAGAGCTGTGATATGGTGTGAGAACCCTATCTATCGGTAGATGACCCAGCTTGACTATTCTTTTATTATTGTGTTTGTTCTATTCTATGACGGCTCTTTTCCAATATTGACGCTCCATGTTTTTGGTCTCCCTCGATTTGGAGAGTTACTTTGGTGTCACAGTCAGATTCGTTTGGTCAGTGATTTCTGTCCGTCTTGTTTTTGGGTTGCGTAGAGAATGGAAGAGATATGCTAGAACGACGAAGCATGTTCAAAGAATAATTGGAATTAAAAGCTTGTGTATTAACAATCAGGTATTTATACAAGGTATTGTTTATAAGAAAGCCCTTGGCCCGTCTCCTGTAAAACGAATCTATCTATACATTGGTAATGCTACGGCCTATACAAACCAAACGTGTCTAACACCCCCCCTCCCCCCAAGTTGGAGCATGGAGAGTACAAATGCCCAACTTGCTCAGAAGAAATAAGTATTGAGGAATCCGGCTTGGATAGGGTCACGAACGTAATGACAATCAACTTCTATGTGTTTCATACGTTCATGGAAAACGGGATTCTGAGCAATATGCAGAGTGGAGCCACTGTCACAAAACAAGGATATGGGCTGTGAGTGTGAGACCCCGAGAGTAAGAAGAAGACCTTTAATCCATTTTAATTCGGCAGTCACAGCGGCCATAGAACGGTATTCAGCCTCAGTAGAAGATCGAGAGATAGTGTGTTGTTTCTTAGTTTTCCACGAGATAGGAGACCCCCTCCTAGAAATATCATCCATCCAGTAAGAGAGTGACGAGTGAGCGGACAGCTAGCCCAATCAGAATCACACCAGCTAGTGAGAGTAAGATCACGCGTGGAAGAAAGGAGAATTCCTTGGCCAGAAGTTTCTTTTAGATAGAGCACAACCCGTAACGCTGCATCCCAATGTTCACGTCTAGGTGCCTGCATAGACTGAGGAAAAATATGAACAACGTATGCCAAGTCAAGACGAGTGAAGGAGAGATAAATGAGATGCCTAACGAGTCGGCGATGAGTCTCTGTATCAGATATAAGATCACCCGTAGCAAGAGCCAATTTGTGGTTTTCTTCCTTAGGGGATGCTGCGGGTTTGGCCTTAAGAAGACCTGTCTCAGAGATAATATCCAACGCATACTTACGTTGGGACAAGAGTAAGCCATCGGAACCGTGGGCCACATCAACATTAAGAAAATATTTGAGGACACCTAGGTCCTTCATGTGAAAACACGAATTTAAATACGACTTGAACTCGGACAAGGCAACTGGGTCATTGCCCGCAATAATTAGGTCATCCACGTAAATAAGAACGTGAAGACGGGTGTTAACCTGATGTAGAGAATATAGAGAATAATCAGAGTAGGACTGGAGAAATCCATACTGTCGTAAGGAAGATGCTAGTTTAGAGAACCAACAACGTGGCGCTTGGTGCAAACCATACAACGACTTTTTCAGCCAACACACCATTCCAAGACGTGATGAGTAAAAACCAGGAGGGGGTTTCATGTAAACTTCCTCATCCAAGTCACCATGCCGAAAAGCGTTATGCACGTCCATCTAATGCAATTCCCAGTTCTTAGCTGCTCCAACAGCCAATACAGCACGAACTGTCACCAATTCACCATCTTGACGACAGGAGCAAAAGTTTCTATGTAATCAATGCCTTCCTTTTGATGATTCCCAAACACCACAAGTCGGGCTTTGTAACGCTCCACAGTGCCGTTAGAATGATATTTGATCGTATATACCCATTTACAACCAAGCGCCTTCTTACCAAGTGGTAACGATTGCATAGTCCAAGTATGATTATTTTCTAGGGCCTGGATGTCACACTGCATGGCTTTACACCATTCTGCGTCAGCCATAACATTGCTGAAAGAGCGTAGTTCTTCACCTGCAAGAATAGCTCCAAGAAAAGCGCAGTAACCGGTAGAACACTTGTCACAATGATTAAAATGTGCTCTAGGATAAGGAGTACCTGAGGAGCTGACAGAAGTAGGTGGTAGGAGAGATGGGCTCGAAGTCTTAACATGATGTGTAACAAAGTCTCGGAGTAGAACAAACGTCCGTTTAGTTCATTGACCGCGGCCCAAGTGTACCTCTGTATTGGCGTCAGTGTTATGTTCTTGCGCAATTGGTGGAGTAGGTCCGTCGGGTGGAGGTGGGGAGGAAGAGACCGCAGGTGTAGGCAAATCATAAAAAATCGGAGTTGTACCTCCGGTCAATGCCATATCACTGGTGATACTACCTCCGTCCCTTAAAACTTTGCCAAGTTTGACCGGCACGGGGATTAATAAAGTAAAAACTGTGTGGTTGAGATTTGTGCAGAGGAGAGAGAATTAACTGGAGCCACAAATTCTTTACTTAAAAGAGAAAGTGGCAAAGTTAATGGGACATCCAATAAAGGAAAGTTGGCAAAGTTTTAAGGGACGGAGGGAGTATTAGAAGACGGAGAGGACATTAAAAAAGGAAACTCGTATTCACAAAATTGCACATCCCGGGACACAAAAATATCCCCAGAGTTCCAGTCATATAATTTCCACCCCTTCTGACCATGCGGGTAGCCAAAAAAAATACATCGACGATTGCGCGGAGAAAATTTATCCCCTCGAGAATATGTGTTGTGGGCGAAACAAAGACAACCAAATATACGCATATGAGAAAACGTCAACTTGGTCCGTGTAAGTAATTCATAAGGACTTCTACCTCCTAGAAGATTAGAAGGAGTGTGATTAATGTGATAGACAGTTGTAAGTACACATTCTCCCTAGAAGCGCACGGGCATATGAGCCTGAAACATCAAGGCATGAGCAACATTGAGAATATGGCGGTGCTTGTGTTCCACCTGCCCATTTTGTTGTAGTGTAGACACAACAAGTCTGAAACATGATCCCACACGTAGCAAAACGTGGTAGCAGACACTTAAATTCGGTGTCATTGTTACTACGCACAATTTTAACAGAGACAACATATTTTTTTCAACCATAGCAAGAAATGACAAAAATACTCGCGAACTTCCTTTTTGTCACGAAGTAAATAAACCCAAACAGCTCTTGAAAAACCATCAACTAATGTAAGAAAGTAAACAACATCACAAGTAGGAGGGGTTTTATATGGTCCCCATAAATCACAACATACTAGTTCAAGAATCCGACTAGCTTTATTTTCACTAATAGGAAAAGAGTCTCGCACTTGTTTAGCCTGTGGACACTTCACATGTTTTATTCAACTTCTTTTGAGCAATACTAGCATTAATAAGAGGTAACAATTTTAGAACCCGATCTGAAGGATGCCCCATCCGACGATGCCACAATTCAAATACTGTCAAAGCTGGTTGGAGTGCACTTTGTCGTGATGTGCACTCAAAATAATAATACAATACGACACTAATACGTAGTATAGTGTAGTAAGGTTCGTATCCACAGGGAAAGGAACACTTCTCTTTTTATAGAAATAAATAAGTAATAACAGGGGGGTTTTATGTTTGGTTGATGAACTTAAATTATCTTTAAACACGAAGATGAACGAGTTATGTGGTTTAAATAATGAGAAGGCGACTTGGCTTTGCTTTTATCCACTTAATGAAATGTTCGTCGATCCCGGTTATATCTTTAACTATCTTCCTCTCGAATACTCAATCGAGGAGTATATTGAGTTCATCGAGGGTAGTTATTAATAACGAGATGCGTTCATGCGTTCATTAATAAAACTTACTATCGAGTCAATATAGAACAAGCGCCGTATATTAACTTGATAGTAGCAATAAACTTAAGATGAAAACGATTGAGATTGATAACCTCAACACAAGCGGTTTATTGGTTTAATCAATATAATTAATTCCCCTTGGCTTATTAATCATGAGAAGCATGCATTAACAACCCAAGTTTACTACCATTGAATGAACCGAATTAATAACAAGCGTATTAACCGATTGATTCTAGTAATAATTAATATATGAAACAAAACTAGTTGATCCTTTAAGTAATGTTCAAAATATTAATATGAAATATGAATAGGAATTAATTAATACTCAAGGAAGAATATTAAAGAAGATGAATCCTACTATAGCTAATATCAAGATGTTAACTAATTGTCATCTTAGTAACACTCCCCAATATTAACATAGAGGAAGAAATAGCTATTACTATAACTAATGTCAAGATGTTAACTAATTGTCATCTTAGTAACACTCCCCAACATTGATATAGAAATAGTATTTAAAGGAAGAATTAATATTCAAGGAAGAAGATTAAAGAGAATAACTCACAACTTACAAATTCATTAAGCTTCAAAGTAGCAAAACCAAGATGGGAGAGTTTAGCTCCTCATTTGGAGACTAAACATGCTATAAAAATATAAAAGAAATACTATTCTAAACTGAGCTTAAGAGTATGGAAGAAGGGGTTATTTTTAGTGAAGGAAAAGTGTGCTATTTATAGGTGTTTTTCAACACCTTTGGCCGGGTACCCGACCGGGTAGAGTATCTACCCGACCGGGTACCGGTCCGAATCAAATATTTTCCATGTTCTAGTGTTCTTCAGCACGTCGGGTTGTCTTCAGTCAAGTCTCACCCGACCGGGTGAGGTATGGGGCCCGACTGGGCCAAGCAGTTTCCTGGAGATTGCAAACGTGAATTCAAACCCGACCGGGTGAAGGTTTCTACCCGGTCGGGTTTATACTCCTGGGCAGCATTCTCCTTGTTTTCTCCCTTTTCCTTGCCAACAATTCTATCAAAACTTCCTAACTCACAAATAAAAGCTAAAAACACTTACAAATAAAAGTAAACAAATGTTTACAACTACACACAAATGGTAAACAATCCACACAAAACAAAATATAAAAACACAAATTTATGCACTACTAACTAGTGCATATCACTGGTGCCTGAACTGCATGCAGAACTTGTATCGTGCGGAAATAGAAGAGCCCATCTTGCCTTTCACCGGCTCCAATCAGGTTCCTCGAGTGTAGGTCCTGTATAGCACATAATGTATTAGTAAAAGT